GTCCGTAATGGAATAGAGCTCACTATCCTGGGCTTGGAGGTGAATGAATGGAGATGAGAGGTACAAGGTCCATAGGCGAAAGTTAGTTAATTACATGCGTTCCCCCAGTGGTGCAGACTTTCCGTCCACAGGGGCTTCTGGTCAACCTGAGAGGGGACTGGGGGATGGCAGGGCTCGGCGCCCAGGTGCTCACGGATGGGCTGTGAGAGATCACCATGCAGCAGCAGCTGGAAGCGGCCAAGGTTTTCCAGCGTCAGGAGCCAGAATGTGAACATGGCCACGCCTCCACCCTCCCTGCCAGCCGATTCCTACCCTGCATTGCTCAAGGACCTCAGGCATCCGGTCGCACAGAGCAACACACTAAATACAGGGAACCCTGCCCTCACATCTACACCCAAAGAATCCAAGAGTGGAGTTATCAACTAAGTAGAATGCTCAAGCAAGGCCAATAACCACTGTTCCTGCAGAGGGGGCTCCTTAGCACAACGTGGGTTCTGGGTGCTAGTTTTCTTAGGAGCAGGTTGGCGACTCCTCCTTAGAGGAGGAGTCTCTCCTCCTCTCCTTAGAGCTCCTCACATGCCCATTAAGTGAAAGCAAAATCAGGCGGCTGGTCTTGCAAAGCTGAGTACGGTCCTTTCACCCGGAAGAACAGCATACGAGTGGTTCTTGTTTGAGCCTTTGGCAGAAGCAGCCACCTTCAGGCCCTTGTATCCTTGAGTGCTGGTCTGCAGTCTTCCCTCTGCCATGGCCCCCAGCCCCCAGTTCTCTTGCATCGAATTTTCCCGACTTACACTTTGCTTTTCTGTCAGCGCAAAGGTCACTTCCCCTTTTCATTTTCATGACATTCAGACCTATGTTTGTTGTCTTTACGCCCGCACAACTGTCGAGTTTTGCTTTCTAGGAAGGTTGAAATGAGAAACAAAAACCTCTCGAGTCTTGAACATTAGAGAGAAAAACCGTGCAGCCCATTTCCTTGCTTTCACTTCCCTTTGTGTTAACCTCAGGATGACGTAGAACATACATACTGGAGAAGCAGGAAGACAAACCTCGCCCATAGGCCAGTGCCTGAAAAGAAACGTATAACATTTTTACATGAAAAATCACAAATGGGTAAGAAGAAGAAGGCTATTTCTCCCTGACTTACTAGTCTATCCCTCACCCGCCCCCCTGCATTCTCAGCATGAGAGAGATGAACAAAAAGGAAACGCCATAGAATCCTGCAGACTGAATGAACAACGGAAGTTCACTATTTCCTGTAATATTAGCTTCTACCAGGAGATGTCACCATTGAGCGTTTTTGGTGATTTCAGTAAGAGACTGAACCATAAAAGCTGCAGTGGCAACGTCCAAAGCATGTGCTTACTAAAAGGTGAAATTGTTGGCAGAAAGAGTAAGGGAGCCCCGGATAAAGAAAGACAAGATACAGCTTTCAGGACACAAGAGAAATCGTTTCAGGCCCCAGTGATTTTTCCGATTTTCCGTGAACTCGGCCCCACTGGTTCTACTTCCCCAAGCACCCTTCCAGGGAGGTGTCAGAATGGCAAAGGAATGGGAAAACCTCAGTAGTTAACGCACTGTAAGGGAACAAGGGGAGTGCGAAATAGTCTCTACCCGGCATGGAAATAAGGAAATAACCGTATCAGAAGACCTAAATCCGGGGTACAACTCCTAGCGCTGTCTCCAAAGTAAGCAAGACCCTGTTTTCCTCGCCCGACATAAGGAGTCCAAGACCCCATCCAGTTTATACTGGTTCTCTGAGCTTGCCTGTAGTCCCTTCCCCTAGTCTGACCTTCACCTCTGCTTCATTATAATGTTAAAGTCCCAGTCCCAGGAGGAGCACGAGCTTCATTAATGTAACACGGGATGCCTGCATAGGTAGGTTTTCTAAGTCATCCCCCCCCTTTACACATGATGACAAAGCTCCCCTAAACATTCATCATAAACCTTAAATAAAAAGCACCCGCTCACCCCTGCTGGGGAGTCACGGCTTTGGAAGTGTTTCTCCTTACTTGATGCAAATACAGTTTCCTGTGTGTGACATCCCCACCTGGTGTAGTC